AAGATTAACGAGAATGACCAGGTAGTCCAGAGAGGTCATATAGGTCAAATTACATGATAGAAAGGTCTGTGATTGGCTGTATGGATTGTGAATCATTTTTCTCGCAATACCGCCATTTTAAGCGATTTTTCCCGTAATACCGCATCTTAAAACTTCAAATACCGCATATCGCACAAAATACAAATCCCGCATTATCGAATTTATTTTGCCAAATTACCGGAATATCGCATGAAAAAACGGTCAATCCCGCAATCCCCCAAACCCCAATGTCCCCCTCCAATAGCGTTAGCGCAACATGCCGACCAGATCTTTTGCCCAATGTACGCGAGCTATTGAAGATGTCCTTCCCATCGGAAGTGTCGAGGCTGATCGTTCTTGCCTTAGACGAATCTATACTTGGCTGAGGACAACGATGACCACAGAGACGCTGTCAGATTTAGCGTTTATTGCCATACATGGCAATGCTATTCCCCTAACCACACAAGAAATATGCCGGGCATTTATGCAGCTCCATCCTAGGAGAATGTAGGAGCCATCGCTTTTCTGCTTATCTGTATCATTTTATATTAGTTTTGAKGTAAAATAGTTGTTACTCTACATAGAGAACTGACTCACTAAAAAAAACGAAACAAGCAACAAAATACCAAAACTATCTTATGTAGCTGCTAGAGTGTATGCTGCATTGATTAATAGATAGAAAAATTGAATATTAAATAACCTAACTTTTTCAAATGAAATACTTGTCGTAAAATAGTCACCCTCCTTCCCAAAATCCTGGATCCGCCACTGTAGCTAAGCGTATTACAGTGATAAATGTACAATGAAGTAAACAACTAGTCCTTCTCATCCRTTGTSAACGGATGYGAAGGAGACTAGTAAACAACCAGTACTTGAACAAACATATCAGTTTATGACATGGATTTCAAGGCCTACAACTCATTGCATATGATAATGGCACTGCCCTTCTCATGGAGCTTAACGGTATTTTTTGGTGTGTTGTCAACGTCCTTTTAGAAAATCTTACACTTTGCGATTGCGATTCTCTGGAAAATGAAACGATTGTCTGATTTAATACGCATGTGTGATTTACATGCAGTAACAAATTCATTTAAATTCACATTATTTCAGATGCTTTTATATTTCATCTAATGTCAATAATAATAATTTAACAAAAAGAAAATTAAAAAGTCCTACCTTGAAACTTTAACATAACGATTCATAGAGATTCCAGAATATTCTCAGAGCTAGCTAACTAGTGATCACAAGTTTTCTCATGTGGCTCATGTGTAAAAATAGTCGTCCGCTTGGTGTAATTGACAACCAGTCATGTCTAGTTTAGTGACAAAAGATCACCAATCGATTATCATCAAGATTAGTTGAGGCAAAAAGTTTTTTAARTCAGTAAAAATACASAAAAAACWTTTAAGCTTAACTATAAATTATTGAAAATTTTAAATTATGGGAAGTTATAAGTAGACAAATGAATATCTATGAAATTAATACCTGGACCAGGCCCTACTTTATCAACGTATGATAAATCGCAATATGCTAAAAAAATGAATAAATATCAGTCTTGAACTTACAAGAAGACACTAAAATACTCTAATTTAACTTATTTTTAGCTTCAAAGTCAAAATAAAGCAATATTCGAGTGAATTGAATACAATCTTTGTTTAACCTCGTTTCCATGCGCACTTCCAATCAACCCAAAAGATTCGTATTTATAACGATGTTCCCCTAATTAGATTTTTATAGACTTTTAATATGTTATTAGTCACTTGTTTCTGAGTCTAAAACCGTTGAGAAACCTTCTGTTGCAATTTGTTACGGGTTGAGCCTTTTTTTCCACTATTTTGACTGGACTATTTGGAACACAGGCTTAAAGGCAAAATGGAAATAAGACACAATAAACAGGAACTTTACCTTGAGATTTCATTGTTTGATAAATCAATTCTTTCTAATTCTGATAAAACTGTGATTTCATCTGGGATTCTATAAACAAGACATTGGTAACTTTTTCATAAAACTGTATAAAAAGTGGTGATGGATGATCATTCAATTTTCTTGAAACCATTGTATGAGGTCACTTTTATTAACCACTCTTGCTCAAAATCCTTATTTTGAGAATAGTGTAAACCGTAAAATTTTAAGTTATGTGATTTTACTTGTTCAATAGCCCATTTTCAAAATTTGACTTACTACAATCATGTGTAACTAAGAAAAGATAAAAAGATTGAAGACAAGGCTCCAGGGAAACAAAATTTAAATCAATCATTTTTTTTTTTCGTCTTCAGTGCTCTTTTGTTCTTGGTTATAGTTAGGCAGAATAGTAAAAGTGGACTATTATAATAATAATAATAAGTCTTTTGTTTTGAGAGGGTAGCACGTAATAGTCCTTAGACTAATAAACTTGTGGCCCTCTATATATTCACTCATACTCACTACCTCAACATTCATTATTTTACTACACGACACTCCTCACAGCTAGTTTTTGACTGAGGGAGGAAAACCAGCGGACCTGGAGAAAAACCCTCGGAGCAAGGAAGAGAACCAGCCTACAAACTCAAATCACATATAGTCCCGGACCGGGAATCGAACCAGGACCACAGCGGTGATAGACCGGCGTTTTAACCGCTCGGCCATCCTTGCTCCCCTTGCTCCCCTTGACTATTTGATGACAACATTGGGGTGTAGCTAATTCAAGAATAGGAGCCTAGTCCAGGTTCCAGTATAAAAAGATGGAAGAATATTTATAAAATTGTAAATTATTATAGTTACATACATGTCAATCTTATTGTCTCTCAAGTCTAGTATAGATAGACAAGGAA